GCCCCCATAGTTAACCTGTTATAAGCTTTTAAAGGTAACCAATAGTGGTTGCGTTTCTTTTGCTCACCACTGTATATGCGCTAATCTAAAAAAAGTGCAAGAGAAAATTATTCCTTATTTCGTCAAAGAGTGCCACTATAATGTCAGTTCGATATATGTATCTCAGAGTTATTTTGACTGCCCAAAGATAATACGAAAAATCTCACATATGTCTGCCTATTTAATGGGTCATATTCTATAGATGAGCTAGTCAGAATTGTGCGTCAATATGCTAATGATTGGCATAGTATGATTAAGATTATTGATAAAGTATTATATGAGTAAAAATTCATTATTTTCGATCTAACTGTACCTCACGAGCATCCACATAGGGTACTGCTTAGTTGAAATGAAGTTTTAGAAAAAAGTGCCTCAACTATTGAGTAGAATTTTCTTAGGTACTAAGGACGAAATGTATATTTTTTCCTGGTTTCTAGATTATATTCAGATTCACTACGCCTCTTTGCCCATAATTTTCTTTCATAAGTGCTAGAATATATTTCCAGTTCTATAGTCACATTATTATGCTTCATTTTGGAAAGGATCTGATCAATAAGAGCGATAATTTTTCTATCTTTAACAGAAATAATATCCTTCATATTTTAGCATCTATTCTCTAACAGGTCAATGGACTTTTCAGCTGATGCAATAGCTTTTTTTGTATCAGGAATTATACTTTTGAAGAAAGCTACCGAATCTGATAATTGGGTAACTTTCCTGCTACTTTCCTCTAAAGACCTGGTCATGGCTACCTTATGAGACTTATATTGCTCTTGCAAGTCGAAAAACTCTTCAATCTTTTTTTTCAATACCTGCTTTGATATACACAATTCCTCATTTTCTTACCTTAACAAAGTTTTACAGTCGCTAATAATAGGCTTTATCTTCTGATGCTTTTTTTGCTTAATATAATTTTCAACTGTCCTATTTAACAAATCTTCTACTTCAGGGTGAATACTACTTGCCTGTTTTAGCAATAACAGATATTTTCGAGATATAAGGTATCGCCATGTATTTATTTTGATAGAATGAGGAAGCTGGTTAAGTTGTTTTGAGTAATATATGTGAAAAAATGATATTAGTATACTAGTCATTGTTACCACAGGTACTAATAAAAAAATTTTGAGAATTTTATAGATTCAGAAATTTTATAAGAAAAATTTTGAGAATTTTACACATTCAGAAATTTACGCACCAGTGAGCATATCATGAGTAATATCATATATGTCAGAAGATCAGCTAGTCCTATCAAATAATGTGATTTCAATCATTAATGGTTTTATTATTCTCAACCTCAAGCTTGGTAATACATTGTTTTAATGAATCGATTATCCTAGAATCATCTATTTCAGATTGCATGCTTATGTAATATCTGATATACTATTATTTATATTCAAAAATAAAAAAAAATCACGTGTTTTCTGAGAAAAATTTTATTATCCAGTGTATGCAAAAAATATAATTAAATATTTATCATATACAAAATTGACCACCAGGGTCGAGTTTATTGAAACAGTAATACAAATAACAATTAGTTTATTTTTTTCGAATTTTATAGACTTTCTTTTTTTTTATTTTTGGTGAAAAAAACTATTGAATGAAACTTTATTAGCTCGTCAAATTGTATGGCTAGTTGGTAAATTATCATATCCAGATTGACATAACTTTTTTATAAAGATTACCCATTGCCGATTATTTAACAAAAAAGGTTAATTTTCTGATTTTAAATCATATTTATACTATTCTTTTTATGATCAATGTGATAATATCATGTTTATTAATTTTGTATATATAAATTGATAATTATTTTGAAAAAAATGGGTAATCCAATGATGACTGACAAAGCTCTCATTAACGTTACAGAGTGGTTTCTAGAGTACGTTAGAAAATATCTTGAGAAGCATATGAAAAGTTCACATTTTAAAGAGGATGCTATTAATAAATTACTAGGTCAAGACGTCAATGGATAGTTTTTTCTTAAATTAATTGAAGAAAAACTTACCTGTAAAATAGTCCTTATGAACTCAAATCTGGTCTTGCAGAAAGGATCATAGAGTTAGTTAAGAGACTCAAAGAAAAACAAGGTTAGTTTGTAAATACAATAACTGACTTTTTCGTATTATATTCTTATTCAGTTGCTTTCAACAACTGAATAGAAATACCCTTTGTGTCTGTTAAAGTCATAACTGTTACCGAATTCGAAAAATTCTGTGAAAATAATAAAAGGCAATTAGAAAAGCTTAATAAAATGATGAACACAGTCATCACTGACATCAATCACCTTTCTTTTGATATTAATACAACTAAAGAAGATATTAAGTGAATTAACGGCTATTTAATGATTTAGAGAACAACATAATAATTATATTCTCCGTGGCTTAGGCCTATTTTTTACTTGTATGTTATTTTGGCAATAATTTATAAAATAAAGTGAGCTTTTCAAGAAAAAAATCATGTGACAGCGTGAAAAAAATTCACGCACTTTTACCAAGAAAAATTTTTTATTAATGATAACGTATCATATCAGATATCACACAAAAATAAAAATACATAAAATTACATGTATGAAATCGAATTCTATTCTATGAATTTTTGGGGGTCAAAACCATTACTACCATTTCACTAGAACTATACTCACTATTCTCAGAATCAGAACTATATAATATTTTGTAAATTATATATACAACGGCCATTCTTAGAGTCATCAATGTATGTATAAGCAGATATACAGCACTTGGAGAAGTCATATGCAATAGAATTGTCACTTCTTCTATTAAACAGTACTTATAAATACCTGATTTTTTTCGCATAGCATAAAGTTCCATAACATCGCCTAGAAGTGAATAGAGTAGAATATGAACGATTTATAAATATATAAAAAATAGAAGTAATTTATTTGTACCTGCGATATTAATAGTGAATATGGTCAGATTCTGCTTCCTTGATGGTTGGTTAAATATCTTTTTAAGGTTTTTTATATTTCTCATAGTATCGATAAAATCCTTGGAAAAATATATTAATTTTTTGTGATCACGAACCTGCTTATCTTAATTGGAATTAGGTCTACCGGTCTCAAGAAATCAATTTCAAGTTCAGCATTTTTTTTGAACTGGGCTACTATCATATAATTGGCTCTTCAGGTAATTTTACGAGAATCTTTTTGTATGGCATTAGCTGAACTCCCTTCTTTACCCCTTAATTTAGAAAATATTAATTATAGCAAAAGATATGATAGTGGTATAATGAAACTTTTGAGCTAAGCCTACTATATATCTCATGCTATCAGGTTTCCTAGTAAATCACTCATCACTATATTTAATAATAGCGTAAGCATCTCACAAACATATGATCCTTTGTTTATCGATTTCTCCTTCTTTATATATGCATCATATTTTGACGATTTCCAAACCTTAAGCCTATAATTATTTATTGGTTAATGAGCAAAGTAAAAAATCATATAAACAGATTTCGGCAAGAATTGCTCGCTAGTGACTTACATAGATTCTAACATTCATTTTGTTAGATCTTGTAATTCTTCGGGCTTATCCGACTATTCTCCATAATTAATATTACCCAAGATCTCATCTATGTTAATTTTTGATTCTTCATTTTAGATAAATTCTTTACAAGCTTTCATTATATCATGATTCTGTTATAACTTATATTTTCGAAATAGTTCCTTAAAAATATCAGAAACTGATCTAGGCATATTTGTAAAGGGTTCTAACTTGATATCTAGAATACCTGAATAAATTAAATGATCAAATCCAAGGTTCTTCACATTTATTTCCTCAAGTTCTATTTCTATTCTCTCCCACATGATTTTCTCATAACTAGCGCTCTCAATCATGTACTGTCTAATGTCATACTTCAAAGATCATAAATTTGTATTTGCATCTTTATACCAGGCTTCTGTATCAATTACTAATACTTTCATTTCTGAGAGTGAACATAGATCTTTGAATGCAGTCGTAACCTAAAATATATTTAAAATTAGTTTCCAAGACTCATTTGACAAAATAATTTTATTTTACATCGCGAGATCAGATTAGGTTTCCATTTTCATAAAGTCTCAACTGCTGGCAAAATATTTGATATGTAGTTATATACTAATATATAGTATAAAACTAGTTACTACTGTATGGGAAGTAATAATATTATAACGGATATCAGCCTCTTCGCTAGTGATTATATCATACTAGGAAACCTAAAAAAGTATGTCATTATATCCATATATTCGTTATAGAAATAGTTTATCACTTCACCCATTTAGCTAATTTTTTTCTGATACTAAAACTTTGAAGTTTCTTTCTTCGCTCAACATCTTCTGAGAGGACTCATTCTAAGACTCTTTTCAGAACATTCTCAAAATTCTCCACCTCCTTTTCGAGAATGCCTGTCCATTCACCTTCCTCTACTCATACAAATAATGCTGTAGAAATTCTGACAATATCGAGAGATTCTCTTATTAAAAGGAATTCTTCTATATTTTAATAGAGTAAATATTAATAAAAAGCTTGCTAGGCGAAGTAAAAAATAATGTACAGTAAATTTCAATACCTTTTCATCATACTGCCTTTTTAAATGTCTCGCATTCTCACATTCTCATTTCTTTGAGCTCAAGTTCTATGTTTGGGAAGAGATAAAAGAAATATGCAAGGCACTTTATGCCAAAATTTTATGTTCATTAGTAAAAAATATGTGAAATGTGTATTAAAGATTTCAACATTTACAAAGGGCGTTAGAGATAATGCATATATGAACTTTTTTTTCGCCCGACTGCTTAATACTAAGACCTGAAAACGTTATATAAATATGTTCAGTTCAGAATATAATAGAAATAGCCCGTAACTTTAGAGCAAATATACATATTAATAAATGCTATTTCGCTAAATTTTATTAAATTCAAAATATTTTAAGGATCAATTTATGTGTGAAATTATTTTGTCACATAAGTATAATTTCACAGATGATTTACAAAGTATCACCTATTACATCATATGCACTTTAACAAGAATCGAAAATGTACTAATTTATGTCGCATATACTAACATGCATTGTGACTGGACAATATATTATTTTATTAAGACAATATTCAGGAACTGGGTCAAGGACTGATCTGAAAAATTTGACACACAAACTCATAATTATTATCCAAATCTGAGAAATTCACGGTAACATCCTTTCTGTGAATATAGATAGGAATTCTAATGGCAGAAATCAGCATATTCTTTGTATTTTTGTCGATTTACCTCTATATTTTTTGCAATCTGAAATTCTGATGATATTTTCAAAGTTATATTTTTTATTAATATGATAATATTTGGGATTCTGTAATCATTTTAACATGTCAGACCAGCCTGTACTTCTAACAACTATATAGCCTTGCTGATATAATACTCTAAAAGTAGCTATGTATGCTACAGTACATAATCGTCTATATAACTGATTTTTCTTTGCTTCTACTCAAGTATTAGCAAAATAAATGTTATGCTTATTTTTTACATAAAATTGGTCACTCACATAATTAAATTCTATTAGTTTTCCATTAATGAAATGATATGTTTTACCACAAGGAACAATATCTAAAAACTTCTTATCGTCAGAAGTACTATCATTTCTCACTGCCTCTAAAACCTGCTTTGCCAAAGATTCAGGCCTCTTCTTGTAATTCCTGTAAGCTCGCTGAATAACTGTTGCATAGAAATTCTCAAACTGATAGTTGTATTGTCTCACAATCAAGAATCTCCAAAATCGCTTCATTAATCTTCCTGAACTTCTCGAAAAATACTTTATTAAAATAGTTATAGATTAGAAGATCTAACCTAGAATAAGTAAATTATGCATAACGTCTACAGGTGATACATTTCATGCATAGCACCTTCAACCAATTTTACTAGGCGATCATGCATGCAGATTATATAGCTATCATTTTGCAAAAAAAATAAAGTATAAGTTATATTTGACTAAATATAATTAATATACATAATACTAATATTCAATTGAAAGATATTGTGAAGTGTCTTATTGGCTAATGACTAAGTCTATTTTCTTTCTACATTTTTTTACACAAAATCGAAATATGATCACTCAAAGTAATTCTGCTAGAAATATTAGACATATTTGATCGATCATTCCAAAGATTTCTAATCTCAAATGTACTTGCACTACGTTACCTAGCAGGTAAAATATAAGCTAGCTCAAATTTTGAAACACTTGGCATAGTATTTTTTGCTACAGTTGCTTTAGATTGTGCATAATTTTTATAGCTAGCCATAAAATTCCCATCATAATCATATGATACTAATGTCAACTTATCCTTTTCTGAGTGTGAAGTAGATTAAGAGAAAAGCTTTAGACGAAGACGATTAATTTTAGCCTCTTCTTGTAATATGTATTGTTTATATTGCCAGATCTGAAATTCTCTTCTATCAATAGATTGAAGAATTTCTTTTCTTTTCGCATGATCATTCAAAAATAGTATTTTCAGAAATACATCTCTTCAAGTGGCTATCATGATAAATACAAAAAATATAGCTATTTTCAGATATGAAAACTAAGGAGTCACATATACTACAATAAATATAATCAGTTGAATAACCATTGTGAACCTTATCATTTTCATAATAAAGCTTTCCATATATTATAATATATCCATTCTTAGAAAGGATTCTTGGATTTTCTTCAAGTATTTTCCTAAATGGATTATAGATATGAGAGCATCATATTTCTGATATTTTGTGATCACGTCTTTTTGTTAAAGACAATATTGCATTAAGTATTCTTATATATTTCAGAGCCTTCATAAGTATTGTTTGCATCAATTAGCTTAAAATAAGTTCTACTATCTAAATCCATAATAGTATTTTAGTAGATTATAATAGATTATAATGATTTTATAGTATTTTTAGTGATTTTAGCAATTTCACCATTTTTTATCGATTTATAGTAGTTTATAACAGTTTATAACAACTATATTATAATAAAATATCAGATTCATTTTTATTCGATTACAAGCATATCAGGATTTATATAGGGTCATATCTCAGGCTAAGCTAATTTTATATTTATATGCATATGCACAGCATCTAGATTCCTGCCAGTTTCTCGATAATTCTAGAAGATGGCGAGTTTCTATAAATCACGAGATGAGTTACAGATCAGCCAATCAGATTTTTCGTAGTAACTAAGAATGGATAATTATATCTCCTATTTTTCTCTAATAGTAAAGTCTGCTGGGTTCGTCAGAAAAAAAATTCGGTTAAATTCATTTTCTGAAACCATGATGTCTACTGTTTAGAATTGGCAGTTAATTTTATCTCCCAAAATCATGTTTCACACATTACGGCTAAATAATCTGGAAATTATTTTTCTGACTTCCTGATGTCATAATTCAGTTAAATCAGATTCGTAATTTTAGCTATTTATTTGATGTTTTGAATTGGAGAATAGTATTATTTAAATTATTGGTATAAAAGAACGTGGATTGAAAAATCAAACTGTTTATATAGAGTTTAAGCAAATACATGACGGGCTATTTGCATATGGACATGAAATATTTTACTCTTAAAATGGCAAATTATATGCATAAAAATATGCAATTTCTCTTCTTATTTAAAGCAAGCACGATTAATTTTTTTATAATATGTATATTAACTAAAAAAATTTATTAATACAGAAAATAACTACATAATATAGATAATAGATTTATTTTACAAAGTGAATTTTCTGTATATTTGTCTGCAACTTGACCTAAAGTCCTACCTGTTAATCCACTAACACTAGTATCAACTAATGTAACTAATAACTTTCTGTGCCTAGATGGTCCTGTTTGTTCTGTTATATTGGATTAAAGAATAAATAAAGAGGGATAAAAACGATATTCTTAAGTTTACTCAAATATTTTAGTCTATTATATAGAAGTGTATAATGGCGTATGCATAATTCTTTTATTAAATTCTCTTTATACAACCACAATTAATTTTTTGTAAATACATACAAGGTTAATCACAACTTTATTAATGATATTTTTCGATGCACAGTTATACACCAAACATATTGCATACATATAACAATTTATTATTAATTAATATTTTATATAATGTATAGCGTAGTAGTCACATGAAAGTCACAGATGGGATCTCAAGTCTCACATGTGATCAAAATGTTGCTTGATAGATCAGATCTGTGAAGCTCTTTGAATTTTTTTACGCAAAGTATCCTTAGTAAATCTGTCAGGAAGATGCTCTATTGTATTATTATACACTTAATTTCTTGCCGATTGATTACTAATTCCTCTCTGAGTATTCTTAATCTCCTCAACTTCTCTTCATACACCTTTCCATAGTAATACCAATACAAAATTTCTTCTTAAATTGCTTTCGTAATATATGTCTTTGCTCTACAAGCTTTCTGGAAGAGGCGGACTAAAGTTTTGGCATTAAAGCTTTTGAATCATCCTCAGTCACTTTATTATTCTTAATAGATTCCCCCTAATAGGTGTAGATAATTCTTGCAATAAGCCTTATAAGATATTGTGTTCACAGTTATTATTTCCAGAGGTAACTGATTATCTTGATGAATGCCTTAGTGAATATCTCAATGGCCAATTTTGAGGAGTATTATTATTCCCATCATTTGTAGCTGAATCCTGGGAATCATTTTCGCTATTTCATTAGGTGTATTCTTCAGATTATCTTGTACATTGGCAGAGCAGTTTGATGCATCTGGTGTCCTTTCATCATCATTATTTTCAGAAGTATCATCCTCAATTACGATTGGACTTGTTGCCTGATCCTGCATAGTGACTTACTTCAACTGACTCCCTTGTTCAACATGAGAGCTACCTTTTACCAATCCTAACGAAGTCATAAGCTCCTCATTATCCTGTTCAGTGTCAGTTTGTTTTTTGAAGATGATATTTTTCAGAGGCAAGTACTGCCTCTTCTCTAGTCAACTCAATGATTACATTACACAAAAGGCATGTAAGAGGTGATTTAGTTTCTGTTTGCATAATATATTTCTCAAAACATTGGCAATGGAAAAGGTATTCGCAATCCAATATAGCAAATGATTGAAATCAGAATTTTAGGATTACTCTTTGGCAAATACTGCAAGGATTGAGTTTTGGAATTCTAGTGGGAATAATTGAAATCTCTTGATTTCAAAGATAATTAATGCAAGTACTTCGAGTTGGAAAGGCTTAGAAGTATCTGTTTGAATTTCTAAAGTGTTAGTCGAAGGTTCACTGGCTATAGTAGTATTCAAAGGTTTACTAGCTATAGTGGGAAATTGTAGAGATAAAATGCTCTTATGCATTCTTCACACCCGTCTCCTACTTATATAGTTTCCACTCCTCTTTGATCTGCAGGTGAAATAATAGCCCGAAATTAGTGTAAATAGACGCACCTATTACGCTAAGAGTCTGCAGAAATAGTTGTAAAATAAAGAAAATTCTGATCTTTGTTATCAATCTAACTTACCGATCACGGATTAAGATTTTGTCCCTAAATGCCTTACATTAGTGTAAGTACGATCAAATTATCAGCATAAATAATTCTTATCAATTCGTCCATTACAACTCTGCTATCCATATGTGAAGAGTTAATCAAAGCAAGCTTTTTATTTACAATACATTGATAAATTACAAGTTAGCGACTTTTCTTATGATACAGTTGAAAGATGCTGATCCTAAAGGAACCTGCTTCATACATGATAGTCTATCTTATTCATTGCGTTTATTCTATCTACCACTCAATAACCCACTATATTCATTATTTTTCATCTTAACTTCTATTTTATCGGTTATGACACTAACGATAACCTTAAAAGGGAAACTATATATTAGTTACAAGCTTTGAAGACGTGATCTTGCAAATGCTCAGCTTAAACTGAAAGTAAATCTACCCTTAATTACGTAATATCTCATCTGATACTTCGTTAAGTAACTTTCATTTCACTAGCACTTTCTCACACTAAGATACTTAATAAGTATACCCATTATATTTACTTATTTATATAGTTGCAAGATTCGTATTTGCGGGTTGCAAATCGAGTTAGAGAAAAAAAATAATGTGAATATATATGCAAATCTTACATCACACAGCCCCTATTCTTCGACAAGAATTTTACTGAATCTCTTCTGCGCATTTTAGGTGATCAGTTTTACATGACTGCTATGATCAAGAACTTAAATTTATTGCTTGAAGTGAAGCAAGTAAGACAATATTCTGTTCTATACCATTCGCCATGTAATCCATAATTTTCATATTTTTCATTGCAGATAGGGCATAGTGAACTCCATGACTAAAGTAATGCAAAATTATAATTATCAATCCCTCTGAAACTATTTTGGAATTTCAAGTATGTAAAATGCTTTAATACAGATTTGATAATTAACTCTGAATCAGGTTTAACTTTGAAGGTGATAGGCTTAAAATCAGAGGCTTGAGGTTTTTCTGATATGCTTATCATGGCTTGCCATGACTCATTTTCAGTTTCTTTTTTATCTTTTGTATAAGTTGGAACGAATCTTATCTGTCAAAATGCTTGGTAACCTACTTAATTTAGCATGCCAATCCAGATATTTGGAAGTTAATACTTTATCAGACTTGTTCATATGGGCCCTTTGCAATAGAAATGGAGAAAATGGCTGAAACATTAAAAAATGAACCAATAAGAACATTTAATATAATATGGCTAGAGGAACATTTTTGGTATATTAAAGTAGGACAGGTTACATAATAAAATTTTTAAATAATTCAAATAATTCATAAAAAACTGCATATCTATTTATAGATTTAAACTACCTAATTCATGAATTGATGTATAATCATGCGAGTCATAATTTAAGATTATTTATAGTTTTGCGAATCCCTAAAAGATTTTGCAAAGAAATTTGCAATTCTCTAAGAGTTACACAGATAATTGCAAATCTCTAAGAGATTTCGCAAAAAAATTTGTGATTCTCTAAGAGTTTCGCAGATAAAGGCGAATCTTTAAGAGATTTCGCAAAAAATTTGCGATTCTCTAAGAGTTTCGCAGATAATAGCAAATCTCTAAGAGATTTTGCAAAAAAATTGCAATTCTCTACAAGTTCGCAGATAAAGGCGAATCTCTAAAAGATTTCGCAAAGAAATTTGCGATTCTCTAAAGTTTTGCAAATAAAGGCGCAATATTTTTTTGCAAGTTTCGAAATTTTTGTAGTTCACAATTTTTCGCAGTAATTATAATTTTAATTAAGAAATTCATTTATGCACTAATTGTTCTATAGAAATTTTCTTATTTTGGAATTTCATTTATTAAATATTGTATTTTTTCTTTATTTTAAAAAAATCGCAATTAAATAATTTAAATAATATTAATATATCTTAATAAATAAATACTTTAAAAAAATTTAAAAGTATTCTTTAATAAAATAACAACATGTCTCAACCATCCCATATATTATTTAATAACATTTTTTCTGAAACCTATGCTGAATTCAATTTATTATAACAGGATTTAGAGAATTTAAATAAACTTTAAGTTATGTATTTATCAAATGAAAATGAAAATTTACCTCATAATATGAATAAAGATAATGAAAATGAAGATGATGATAAATTTGATGAACTTGATGAACTTAATGAACTTAATGAATAGCAAGCATTACATGATTTTGATGAATTAATTTTCTCACTTGAACAAGTTAACAAATTTTATCAAATTTATCAGCAAGCTAAATTTGCAGAAGTTGATGATGATGATGAATATGATGAACATCAAAATCTTAAGAATAATTTAAATAAATTTGATGAAGAAGCTCAAAAGCAAAAATTACAAATTACAGAATGTTGTCAAGAAAAATGTCTTCAAATAAAAATTGATCATGATGATGCTATTATGAGGTATCAAAATTTTAATCAATTAACTAATAATAAAAAAAACATGTTCTTTAAAGGAATTCTTGCAGCAAAAAATAGAGGAAATATTACAGCAAAAGGACAAAAACAAAAAAAACTTGCTAATGAATATTCATTTAAAAAAATAAAAATTTGTAATTCGGCATTTTTAGTAATTTATGATATTGGATTTAAAAAGTGGAAGAATATAAGAAAACATTATATTCAAAATGATATTAATTCACGAAAGCATAAATTAGAAAGACGTTCAAGTAATCATTCAATTTCATTTGAAGATATTTTAGAAATATTAATATTTATAATGAATTATGCTAATTCATATAGTTTACCTTCTTCTGGTATATTAAATTTTATTTGAAATTAAATTTATCTTAATTTTTTATTAAATCTAATTTATTTTTAAGGACATCATTTTAAAAAAAAAACATTACCAATTATATTTTTTCCTGCTAAAAAAAGTTATTCTTCTTTATATTAAATATTTGAAGAAATAATTGAAACAAATAAGAATAAAAAATTTGTACATTTAATAACCTTTTAGCGTATATGGCATAAATATATTCTAGAAATAAAATTTTTATCACCACGTAGTGATTTATGTTTTTTATGTAAATCTATGAGATTTAATACAAAATATTGGCTAGAACAAGATATAGAAAAGAACGTTACTGAATAGCAACAACATATTTCTTGGACTCAAAAAGAATGTGATTATTATAAGTAAATTATTAATTTATTATTATACATATATTATTATTTTTATTTATTTTATTAATTTAATTTTTTATTAAATTATAGAATATGTATAGAAAATTCAAAATTAATGTTAAAAAATTATAAAGATTTTTTAATT